AAAAAAAAAACCCCGTTTTCCCATAAAAAAAAAAAAAAAAAAAAAAAAAACAGCCAAAGAGCAAAGCAGAAAAAGGAAAAAAAGAGAAAAAAAACGAAAAGCTGAATGGAAGAGAACAAACAATATTAAATATGCGTTTTGTGTATCGGACACACTCGAAGCTACACACACGCGCACACACACACACACACACACACACACACACACACACGGAGTATACACGAAGAAAGACCCAAAAAAAAGAAAAAAAGAAAAAAATAAAACCTATCGATTATTCTACCAAGTAATGAATTAACAAGAGGATGATCATTAGATTTGTAATTAATTACATATATATTTTTCAATACTTTAACTACTTGCTGAATGTAAACTATATACATATAATTATATATTATATATATTATATATATATTATATATACACACACATACCGCGTAGGGCTGTACCTCGACTACAGCGTGGCGATACGAGGGCTGGCTCGTCGACTTCCGGTTCCTCCGTCGCACCGACGATTCTAAAACGCCTACACACCTACTCGCGTAACGCGAGAGCTGAACAAGAAGGAGGACGAAGGAGAAGAAGGAAAAGAGAAATGGCGAATCGATGACAGAGTGGTAGGAGAAAATGTCATTTGGTCGTTTGTCGAGAACCGGAAATGGACTGGATCAGCCCTCGACAGCGGGACCGGGAGGGCTGCTGCCACCACGTTGACTAAAGAAAAATGGCTGCGCCCCGCCCGGGCATTGGAAGAGATCTACCAGAGAAAGAACGCGAGGGAGAGAGAGAGAGAGAGAGAAAGAGAGAGAGAGATGTGAAGAGAAACCTTTTTTGTACCCCACCCCAAGTCACAGTCTCGGTGTCGAAACGGTAAATGAAAAACCAAAAAAAAAAAAACGGAAAAAAAAACACAAAAAAACAAGCAACTATGTTACTCGTGTAAGTGCATCCTAAATGTAACTGTTACGGAAAAAAAAATATGCCCCTTCTCCGAAGCCCCACCCCAGGCCCCAGTCTTCATCGTTTCGTACGTAGTGCAAGAGAGGGATGACGAGAACGAAAGCAGGAAATAATGAGAGAGAGAGAGAGAGAGAGAGAGAGAGAGAAAGATGAAACACGCACGATAAACATGCGTGACGTCGAAGGAAACGAAAGAGAGCGTGGGAGAATAGGAAATTTTCAGGCGCGGGAAACCCTTGTTCTTTCAGCCCCCCTTGCGCGTAACGCGAACGCGCGTTTTTCCTTTTCGTTCGGTTCGCTGACGGTTCACGCGCGTACGCGCCTACCTTCTTTTCCGCCGTTGTCGTCGTTCTACCACTTTTTTGTTTTTAAACGGACGTGTACACTTGTTGTCCGACTCGGAGTGTTCGAATGGGATGAACGAGAGACGAATCTGAATGATAACGTGGCGTGTGTGTTACGCGCGAACGAACGGGAAAGTGCGAGGGAAGTAAATGCAGAGTAAGCGTTGCGAGTATACGAGGGTGAGAGCAAGCGAGACACTGTGCGCCTATATATGTATATCTGTATATAGGTAACGTTTTCTCAACCGCTGCTGTTGTTGTTTCCTTCATACCGTTTCTTCTTTTTTTTTATTACTATTATTACTATTATCATTATTACTATTATTATTATTATTATAGATTATATATATATATACATATACATACATACAATAATTATTGTAATCGAGATGTATTTTCTGTTGGCTTTAGATTTTGTTCCTTTATTTTTGTACGAGAACCGTTTTACCTTTTACTATTACCGTGTGCGTTATGTAAGCTACATATACATATATATATATACACACACACACACACACACCTTTTTTTTCTTACCGTTTTTAATTTAGATAAAACATCCATTTATATTTAGATGGATCCATCAGTCGAAGCGCAAACGACGCTGATCATCGAGCAAAATATCGTTCGTCGAAACAATCGGCATTGTTTCGCGTGACTTTTTGCGTTAAAGTAAAACTGATCGGCGGCGTTCGCGATTCTCTTTAGTTTCTAAGACGAGTCCTTCTCTCACGAATCAATTATATTTTTATCCAACCTTTTTGTTCTTTTACCTTTTTACTTTAATTTTTTCTCTCTTTTTTTTTCTTTTTGATAGTTTGTTATTGTTGTCTTTTTTCTTTTTATGATGTTGGTCCTTTTTCTTTGTATGATATACATTTGATTACACAAGCGTGCTTCGCTCTTTCGAACGATGATATACATCGCTATATATATATATATATATATATATTTTTGTTAAATCTCTTACAGTGGTTTGATATGACTACGGTAATTTGTCCTGTTGTAACGGATTTGTTTTTCTATGTAATATCTCCCTGCAAACGAGCCCCACGAATGCGTTTCATGAAAGAAAATAGAAAACACGTGCATATAAAAGTATAAATATATATATGTATAGAGCATTATAATTATACACATTTGTATGAGGAAATATCGATTAATATATACATACACTGCTACATTATATTTTGTTTAACGAGGAGACAAACCAAAAGAGCGATCGAAAAAAAGCGAAAAATTTACGAAAAAAGAAAAAAAAAATGGAATGGGAACGAGATAAGTGAGCAAGGGAGAGAGCGAGAGATAGAGAGAGAATGAAAGATTTTCAGCGTGTTGCTTGTTTTGAATTAAACATCAAAGGTTGAAAAGAGTGAGAGAGAAGAATGTGTGTGTGTGTGTGTGTGTGTGTGCGTGTGTTTGCGAGAGAGAGAGAGAGAGAGAGAATATGATGGAAGCGTTTCTTGAAATTTTTCGAGTGTTTTGCATTCTCTTGAGGGCAAAAAATTAGCGAATTTCGAGGGCGAAGGATTAAAAAAGAAAGAAAATGAAAAAAGAAACACACGTATATATGTAAAAAACACACACATACATATACACACACGTACAGACACGAACAATATCGACAAGTAACACACCGGCTGAAAATGTAGGGACGAGAGCGAACGAAGGGATATAAAGAGGAAATGAAAAGAAAACAAAAAAAAAAAAAAAAAAATACCAGACAAAAGTGTGCAACAAAAATGAAACTCGCGTGTAATATAACTTATAATATCATTTTGTAAATTATTTTTTGTATTTTTATATATATATATATATATACATATATATAAATATCGAAGCATACGAGAAATAAAAAAGCGGAACAGTGTTTGTGCGTACGAAGAGACAGGTGAAAAGAGAGAGAAAAAGAGAGAGAGAGAGCGAATGAAAGAGCGAAAAGGTGAGTGAAATCGTGGAGAGAAAAATCCTCATCGTGTGATTGCGTTTGAAGCAGTTTGAGAAGAGAAAAAAAAAAAAGAGGAAAGAGTGAGAAAGAGCGTAAAAAAGGGAGAAAGAGTGGAAGAGAGAGAGAGAGAGAGAGAGAGAGAGAGAGAGAGTGAGAAATCTCGCGGACGCATTGGAGCAGAGAACACTGACGATACTTAAAAATTGATTGTTGATCAAAATGGAACGTCCTTTCGTTGACCGAGAGCGGCGCCAGAGAGAAAAGAGAGAAAAAAGCGTAAAAGACGCGTGCGTTGAGATATGCAATGCGCCTGTATGCAGCCTGTGTTCGTGAATGAACAAACGTGTACACACGCACACACGCACACACACAAACAAACACACACACCCACACACGCACGCAAAATCTCACGATAAAATACAATAAAATGTACATGTCCCGTTTAATTATGTTTAAGCGGTGAATGAATTCGCGACAGAGGCGAACGTCTCCGAGAAAAGAGAAAAAGAAAAGAAACTGCGAAACGATAGTGGATTTTTTCTGTTCCCCGATTATTTGTACCTTTGTATTGTATTCTGCAGCTTGTCAAACGCTTTGTTAT